AGTAGCAGTCGCATACAAGGATATCAGCAGAACAGGGGACTGGAATGAAAGTGGATTTGGATCCAGTGACAAATCTTGGGCATTAGCTTGTGACCAAAACAGTTCTAATTTTTGGTACAACAACATCAAAACTCCCGTTTCAGGTCCTCGGTCCTCCAGACTTGGAGTGTACCTGGATCACAGAGCAGGTATTCTGTCCTTCTACAGCGTCTCTGAAACCATGACTCTCCTCCACAGAGTCCAGACCACGTTCACTCAGCCTCTCTATGCTGGACTCCGCCTTTGTGGTGTTGGAGACTCAGCTGAGTTCATTAAACTCAAATAGACAGAAGTGACGTCAGATGCAGTTTGTTAAAATCTTTATTTTAAAGCTGAAACTTCTTAGTTTTCCATGTTTGTTGCTTGGAGCCTAAACTGACGTTTGTCCACATGAAGATGTAAACTTCTCTGTGCTCTAAATGTTGGAGGAATATTTGTACTGATGTGTTTGTGTGTTGTTGTGTCTCCTCCAGAGAAATCAGCAGACTTTCCTTTATCACTGAGATTTTGTTTCCACCACTTTGTCCATGTGTAAAGAAATGTATAATGACACTGTTGTTGTCCTAGTTGATAAAAATATCTGGAGACCTCATGCATGTGCAGCCGCTCCTACCTACCAGGTTGGGCAACGGGTATGGCTCTCGGCCACCCACATTCCCATCAAGGGGGCGTGCCCCAAACTGTCTCCCCGGTTCCTGGGGCCCTTTACCATCCAGGCTGTTGTTCATCCCACTGCAGTCAAGCTCACACTCCCTGATTCCCTCTGTATTCACCCTGTTTTTCACAGATCAAACCTTTCTTCTCCAGTCCCCTCTGTCCGCCGCCGGCTCCGCCTCCCCCGGCCGGCCCTTGAGGTGGATGGTGGGCCTGTCAGGTTTGCTCAGCTACTCTGGCCTCTCTCACCTTTCTTACTCTGTCTCTTAGCCCCTGATTACTGATCATGTTCAGCTGTTCCTCACTCCCTTATCACCAGCTGCACTTGATTAGGCTACTCGTTACTTATACCTGGCTCATGAAGGTTTATTTGACCTTTTGCCTTTAATGATAGTTGACGGCCGAGACAGGAAACGTGGGGACAGAGTGAGGTAGCTGAGGGAAAGGAGAAGGATTAGAAATCTGACGGTTTGTATATTGTAGGTGACAAAAGGTAAAACTCAGCAGAAATATTTTCCAACTTGAACCGTTGCTTCAGTGGCCAGTGCCGTGTGTGGGCAGGGGGTTCTCTGGCTTGGC